TAAATGTTTAAACAATAATAAAAATTACTAGTAAACTAATAATTTTATCTTCGGCATAAGATATAACGAACACTTCTATATTGTATCTAATATTATAAAATATGCATTCAGATTTATTAGATTAATATTAGAAAATGTAGCGTATTTATCGTAATTATATAATTTACAAAAATTTTATTTAAATTTATTTGTCATTAATATTTTTATTATAAAATAAGACGAGAATTTATGTTAATATAAATTTATATGTCATTCAATTCATTCAATTTCATGGCATCTATTCTTCAGTAATATTATGTAGTTATATTATATAATTTCATTGTATTGAAACAATACATACCATAATCTTTATCTCAGTATATTTTCTTATCAGGAAAATTCACTATAAAACAATGTATTCAATAAAGACATTACATATTAACGATTAAGACTGATATCAATTTTTACGCAAGTATAAATATGATAAAGACTCTTATTATATTGTAGTCTTTCAAACCTTTAAATAGATTAAAAATTAAGATATTTGTATTTTAAATATTTTATTATAAAAATGTTTCAAATTTTTACGTTTTGGATCTTAATAACTTACGCAACCAGTTTTATTCTACAACCTAATGATTATAAAGTTGAACTAGTACAAGCGGTAATTTAAAATAATTAGATATATTATAAATTTTCTGTTATTTTTATATAATAAAGTGAATTTAAATTTCAAGATATTTCGGCATGGTGATCGAACACCTACGATATATCCAACGTATCCAACGGATCCATACAATGCATCTTTTTATGAACCCTATGGCATTGGACAGTTAACGAATGTAAGAATGATATAATATAATTATAAGACGATAAATATACTTGTTTCTAAATGAATTTTGTAATTCAATACAAAAGTTAAAAACAATATTCATTTTTTTATATTGCCATATTATAAATCAAGCTAATTTTAAAAAATTTAACATAAGAAATCTGTATTGTTTTCAAATAAAATTAGTTAGCTCTATCATTACGTTTTATTACTAAAATTATTATTTTCTGCATAAATTGTTTTCATTAAAAAAATAATACTTACCAACTTTTTCGTAAATAAAATATTAAAATGTTTCTTGAATTTCTTATTTAAAATTTCCTACAATAAATTCAATATATTGAACTAGATGTAACATCCATGCGTGTGTGTTAATGCTGTACAGATATGAGCGCACGTGTGTGAATATACGTACGTATCCATTACATATTTTATGCATATGTATATTTGGAAATAAATACAAAATTTTTTTTTTTTTTTCTAAACTGTGTTTAGTAAATCTTTTATTTAAGTTAAAATAAATTTAAAATTTTGAAATTATGATTTACGGTTAAATATTATAATTATAGCAATGTTCTCGAATGATAAAAAATTATAAAATCTTGTATTATACTACAAATATTCTATAATGCTATATCATTTTAAAAGTAAAAATTAAAAATACTTAATGTATTCTTAATAGACTCACTTTGATCTCTATGCATTATTTTCTTCTTTTAATTAATGCTTACAAAATAAAAATGACTACCCGTTTAGAGTATTGTGATATAGAATCAACTTTGATAATAATTAAGTATCTTATTTATATTTGATTCATTCTACATGATTCATATTATATATCATATAAATTATTATAAATATTTTATTACTTACAAATTTATATATACATTATATACAAATGTGTATAATGATTCATTTTTATAATTGATATTTATTGTTGTAGTGATTTTTAAATTTGTATCAACATACAATAGAGTTTACGTAAATATTTTTATTAAATAATAATGGAATATTAGAGGTTTCGACACTATCGTAATAAAAATATATTGAATTTTAATTAGAAAGGAAAACAACGCGCATATATGATAGGTGCTATGTTGAAAAAACGTTACGCAGATTTTCTAGGAGAGATTTATAAACCTGATTATGTATATGCCTATAGTAGAGATTTGGATAGAAATAAAATGACACTACAGTTAGTACTTGCTGGTATTTTCCCACCAACGTTGCAATTAACTTGGAATGAAAAAATATATTGGATGCCGCATCCAATGTATATCAATCCAAATGCATTTGATTTTCTTTCAGTAATTATGAAATGTTCTGCGTAAGTATTCAAAACTTAATAATGTCATAAAAATACGTACTTTTTTAATACGTACGATATATTAAATTTGATGAATTCATATAATATTTTCAAGAACGATTTATAAAATAATTGATAAAGAGTACCTTTCAATTAATACGTGGCTTTAATATGAAATGTAAATTCGTAATGAAATAAAGGTAAAATTAAATTGTAAGATAATATTGGATTTATATAATATTTTATACATTTTATAAATATTTTATATTCTTCAAAATTATCATCACAATTAGTAGTAATAATAATAATAATAAGCAGATAAAAACAATTAATTAAATGATACTTTTTATTTCAAATTAATTTTCAAATTTATTTAAAATATATTAGTATATTTGTTGTATTGCTTATAATAATTGTTTACACTATCTAAATTATATTAATTGTTTTGTATATCATTACTTCCAAAATAATTGTTATTCGTTATTAACATTTCATTAACTTGGAGCTATATAATACATTAAAATGCATATAATTATAATATACTAATACATTTATAATTTTATAATTATAATTATTATATAAACGATTCATAAAATAAAAGAAAATCATATTAAACAAAACATAAAAATAGATTTCAAATTATTAATATTAAGATTTGTTAACAACCTATGAATGTAAAGAAATTTAATTAAAATTACACTAAAAATAAAATGTAGATTTTCATAATTTTTAATTAGAAAGTTCATTTTTTATTTTACTATACGATAGTATACAATTACACATTATCCCAATAAAAATAGTTCCAAATTATTATACGTTGTTTAATATAAATATTTGTCATTGTAAATATTTACTTTATATTATTAATTATTTTATTATCCATAATATATTGCCTCGAACAATTATTTTAAACCATTTATATAGATATCTCGATAAAATACAATCTCAATAATATAATCATTAAGTGAAAATAAGTATTTTATAGATATCTTGAGTTAATTTGCTTATATTTGCTTATAAAGACTTAATATAATTTGGAACTAATTTAAATTATAAAATCACTTTAAAATTAAATTCATCATTGAACAAGGAAACTACTATTTTATTTAAAATTTTCCTATATATATATATATATATATATATATATATATATATATATATAATTAATAATTTATAGATATGGAAAACTTTGGCATCAAGTTATCAATTCATCTGAAATACAAAAAAAATTAAAATCACACAAGGATTTTTTAACGTATATTTCTAAATCTTCAGGCTTTCCAACAGACTTTTCTACGGCAATAAAACTTTATAGTATAATTCGATCTCAAGTATATAGTTAAAATTTGATAATTCAATGACAAAATACTTCTATGTAATAATAATAAGTATTATGTATTTTTTTTATAGATGAGCTTAGATTTGCCACTACCTGACTGGTGTACAAACGAAGTTTTTGAAAAACTTGAAGAACTAATGACTCTTCAATACAGCATGCTCACATATACAAATGATATGAAAAAATTTGTCGCTGGACCAATAATTAAGAGATTTTTAAATAATCTTAAAAGCCACAAATCGAAAGATAATAATAAAAAAATTTATTTGTACAGTGCTAATGATTATTCTATAGCTGCATTTGCTCAGGCTCATAATTTTACGGTTCCAATTGTTGATTATGGATGTACCATAATATTTGAGAAATTAAGAGGCAGAGATAATCAAATTTACGTTCGCGTAAGAGTATTTGCATATTAATAATCAACATTTTTAATTCTACTATTAAATGTTTTCTTTTTCAGTTCCTTTTATGGTCAAGTATTGCTGAAAAATTAACTGTTTTAAAGTTGCAAAATTGTGATGAAATATGCCTTTTAGCAAAGTATTTAGTGATTATTGATCCAATTCTTCCACTAAAATATGGTACAGAATGTCTTTATGAAAATGCAAGAAACGAAGTCGAAAATTTTGTAAATGGAATAACAGATAATAACGAAGAAAATATTTATATACCACCATTTGCTCGATACCTATGATTATTTTATTTTCATAATAAGCAATCTAGAATTTCTTATATAGAAATTTATTTAATATGCCGTGATTTTAATTATTTTAATTATATCAATTATTATGTTATAATAAAATAAAAATGAAATATGTACATAAAACATGAATGAAATAAAATATACAGATATTAAGAATTAAAATTAAACGTGATTCGATATCTTTATTTTAAATATTGTTCATAATACTTATTTATACGTAACAGGTTTGATTTTTACTTATATATAGAATTGTATTTATCTTACTTAAATTCAGATAAGATCAAATCACTGTAATCGATGTTTTAATTTTTTTCTTCATATTTAATATAATTATTTTTCAATATTAGTAAACTTTTTAATAATTATTGTATAAAGTTTTAAGAAAGAAATAGTATTGTTTAATGAATTTAATTTTTAATACAATTTGTTCAATATACTATATTGTTTAATTGAAATCGAAGTGATAAAAACGAGATTAATTATTTATGAAAATATATTATTTAAGCGACATATAAAATTGATACTCATAATTACTATTTCATGCATATTAAATAATAAAATATTCGAGAATATAGCAAATATAAATAATTGATTTGTTATTTAAAATCAAATGAATTGAGTTTTATGTAAAGTTATAATAACATATTAAAGTATTTGAAATTAATAAATAATATAATATGATAAATAAAAAAAAGTTTTTGACCGAATTGTTCGTATAAATGTATATTGCATAAAAATATAGAGAAATTGTAATGTATTAATAAAAATATTAAAATTCTTCGATTATATAGAGACAAAAAGATTTATATTATATTATTATTACAATATATTATTATTTTTACAATAATTTGTAACTTTATTCATGAATAAAGAATTAAAAATTAAATACTAATAAGAAGATTTATTAAATACGCGAGATGTAAAGTTTTTATTAAAAGTTAATTTAGCTGACTATGTAGCTAATTTTTTAGACATTTTATTGTGTTAATCGATGTTAAGTGAAAAATCGCATAATAAATGATAAGACTGATTTATAGTGGTTTGGAATGTTTAACTTTTTTCTAACTTATTTATTATTGCATAAATTTTATACGATATTAAAGAAAACATTATTACATTTAACACTCTCTATTTATTGTAAGTGTATACTTTTATGATTTTACTAAAATTTCGTATAAATTTGTATTTGCAACGATGTTGCGCGAATGTCAGTGATTTATTTATTATTTGTGTGAGGCTTCATTTTTAGCACATAAAAATAATTATAAATTCATAAATTTATGCCTATCAATGATAAGTAGAAAGTGGTAATTTAAATAGCTTTATAATTTCTATGATTTCTTTCGTAAACATAAATCCTTTTTTTTAATCATTAATATATTATAACATTAAATATTCTGAATTATGTCAATAAACATTAAAATAAAATCAAGCTAATTTTTAACATTTTTCTCTTACTTTTGTATTTTGGCTGTATTAATGGTTGTTTTTACAAAACTGGAAAAATCATGTCAATAAGTATTATATTATGAAATAAAGTTAATAATTGTAAAAAATGTACTAAAATAGTATATCCAAATTAGTTACTTAATACTGATAAGAGAATTACAGTCTTTGTCATGTGGAAACGCAGAAATCTTCAGGGACTTCTGTTTTATCCCCAACCAACTTTCAACTTTTGTTGTATCCAGCTCATTTTGCTCGGTATGGGGTTGGTCGTTAAATTTTGTAACGTTTCTCGTTGTATCTGCGGATGTGGTGGAATTACAAAAAGGAAATGAAAAAGCTAATCATAAAGGGAAGTACAAAGTTCGGTTCGTATTGAATATAAAATCGTAAATAAATGGCAATAAACTAGAATTTATTATATAAATAATTGAGCACAGAAAAAGTTAAATTTTAAAAAATCATACCGATTATTTTTTATAACAAATAAAGTGTAAAATATGAAGTAAATTCATTTTGCATTTCACTTAATTATTTTAATGATAAATCGAGTATTATAATTTTATTATACATTGATAATATATAGTTACCGTTTTACATAATAATAATGGAAAACGAGAGAGCTTATGTCTGTACTGTAAAATTTAATAAAATGATAGATTTATTACGTTATATGTTTAAGATAAGAAAGAGGGAAAAAAAAGCAATGAGAATCCATCTGATATTTTTATTATTTTTTAAGCCTTTAGTTGAAATATGCGCTCAGTGGTTGGATAAAAAGTTGTCAGGAGTCAAAAAGTCATTCGTCGATGCACGTCGTGACGCCGAATTGAGTATGTGAAGTTCATGGCTAGAAATAACTTAGAAAGGAGCAACAGGCCACAGAATTTCTCGATAACTGAAACCATAAGTTTACAATGAACCCGAATTGTTCAGGGAAGGAACTCACAGAGGTGTTAAGAGCTGGTTGTGGCTGGCTTTGATAGAGGCTTGGAATATGCTCGACAAAATTGGAACTCTGGCTTCTCCCAAGAATAACTAAATATTTGCCAGCAAATATCATTTTGTATGCATCCTTTTATTAGTCATGACATTCAATTGCTCAGAACGCGCCGAATATTTAACTTTATGATTATCTCTTGCAATAAGATTTTAATCCTTTTCGAATGTATTGCAGAGATAATTATTAATATGTTTTAAAAATAAGTCATGAATAACATTTTATAATATTTATTTTTTTTTTTATTTGTATATATAGTATATAGTGTACTGTGTAAATCTAATTAATTAGATAATTAAAAGTAAAAATAAATATTTTAAATAAAGTGTAAGATATATAAATAATATAACAATAAAAACAAGAAAAATGTTAAATTAAGCATTAAAAAGAAAACTAAATGAAATAATGAAATTTGAATGTAAATATTATACGAGTATACCCGCACAAACTCTTCACCCTTGACATGTTGAATTAAGAGCTTTCGTGGGAGTCAAATATTCTTCTTTCAGTAGTGCTTGATATTGCTTGAGTGTACTTTTTAAAAGTGTATGGTAATACTTTTCTCCGTTGCTCATTGTTCGCAAGTAATAGTGAAATAGTCCATGTAATCGATACAAATAAATATAAAAACAAATTTATTTTATATATTATGCTTGTAGTTTTAATAATAAATGATCCTAGATCTCTCTACAGTATATTTCTCAGTAATGATGATTAGTCGAATGAATCGCTGAAATATTTTAATATAATTATAACATAAGAAAGACTAGTTCCCATATACATGAAAGCGAAAAAAAGTAGAAAGAGGACGAAAAAACGAGGCATTATATCATTTTGTGTTGTATTGTGTTCAATTTTATTTATATCTATAACTGTAGGACAAATAATGATAGAGAACATTTTTTTCCTTCCTATAAACGTCCTTCCTATAAATAGCCATCATAAGATTTTCATAATAATTTTTTATCTATTATTAATATCCTTATTATTATTAATAGATGTTAAGAAAAAAAATGTTTGAAAATTTGTCAAATATCTAATAAATTTATAGATAAATTAGTTAAGGTGGTGTAGTAATTATAAACATTTTTGAGTATTATTATAATTTTTATTTAATTTTCAAATAAAAAATTCAAATACATATAATTATTATAACCGCGTAAAATTTTAATTTAAAACTTATTATTAAAAATCTAACTTCTTATTTTATGTATTTTTCATCTTAAAATAATATTTTGTTATCACATAATATTTTCATTTCATAATTGAATGCATTTTTCTAAAAAGTAAAATTAAATAAAAAATTATAATAATTTTTTTTTTTTATATATTTTAATACAAAGTCATTTATCAATTTTTGTTCAAAATTTTTCCAAATATTTATTTAAAAGAATGAAGTAATAATAAAAATTATGTAATAACTAAAAATTGTTTAGTTTCGAAAGTAGAAACTGGAAAACTACATACTAAATATTAAAAGAATAGATAGTTACATTTTTATTTTAACCTTATTATATCATATTTTTGAGATATAGATCGTTTCAGTCAGTTTGATTTAAAATTTTATTTCTATCATGCTGCTGCTTTCATACTATTGTGTTTTCTTTTTATTAATAATTTTCATTATATATTTTTGACGTTATATTTATTAACTTCATATTATTTTATTATATGGCATGATATGAATAATAATATTATTTTCGTTTATATATGCACTGTGAAAATAAATATACAGAAAGTTTATTTTAGACAAAATTAATTAGATAATACTAATAAAATGAAATCTTTCGAATATAAAAAATAAAATAGTCGAGCATAACATTCAATTTTAAATGAGTTTTTTCATATTTTTAACTTTTAAAGTTTTATTTAACTATTATACTTTTATTTAATTAAAGTAACAATATTTTATTTAATTAATAGTGTAGATCTGGTAACTGTAATATAATATGTTATTGCATGTATTACACAATTTTTTTCCCATATAGTTTTACAACACTCAAATAATTCTTATAATTTATGTTTTTTTTTATAAATGTTCTAATTAGTTAGTTTCGTAATTCATATAAGCATAGTATTTGTATTCTATTTTAATATAAAAGTTCTATCGTAAATTATATAATATTTTTATCGCATATCTGTAATTAGACTGGAATAATGCAAAGCAATGAGTTTTATTATAATCATACATTTATATAAAACAATTAAAATCATTTAGAAATAATAGATACTACAATTAATTTTTTCTGCATCATATTACAATAATAAAATATTAATAATTAATTTTTAGATATTTAAGTTGTATTATTGTAAATGAATTTTAGACAAAATTTTAAATAAATATATAATATTAAGTAAAATAAATAAAATCATTCTATATATTCGCATGAAAGTAAGTCAATTTCTTCAATTTACTAGCCTACGAATCGTAAAAAATATTAATTATCTGTTTATATGGTAAGATTTTACTCTTTGCCATTCCAAAGTAGAATAACATATAGCCTAATTATAATTACTTTATTAATCAATTTAT